CCCCGGGGTGGGGGTCTCGGGCGGGCCGTGCTCATTGCGTTTGTTCCCGCCGGCGCAGGCTCGCTCTGGCGGTACGTGCGAGCCAGCATGACCCTTTCTGGGTACCTACCGCCACTCTGCGACCCCAAGGACGGCAACTTACTGATGGACGGTGGTTACATCAACAACCTGCCAGGCAAGTAGCAGCTCAACGCCGTCACCGCTCAACCGGGGCGGCAGCCAACGCGGCGCCGGGTCTGGCCCCGGGGGCGGTGGCGGGCAGTTGGGTGGGGGCTTGCATGGCCACCAAGAGATGGATTCTCAATAGCTGGAGATGTTGAGGTTGGATTTGGGACATCTTGCTTGGTTTCGCATCTTCTTGGTGTCTTCGGTGTTGGGCGACCTCTCAAGGCGTCTTCATCCTCTTTCATGTGCAAGAAATGTCTGTCCATCTTGCGTCACCTCTTGGTGTCCTCTGTATTAGGTGGCTTCCCAGGGCATCTTCATGATTCTTCACACCCCTTCACATCTTTTCATCTCGCATCATCTCTTGGTATCTTCGGTGTTGGACATCCTCTCAGGGCATCTCCATCCTCCTTCATGTGCCAAAAGTGTCACATAGTCTCACGTCGTCTCTTCGTGTCATTGGCACTGGGTGGTTTCCCAGATCATCTTTACGTGCAAAAATTGTCCCCATCATCTTTGGGTGTCCTTGGCACTGGGTGGCCTCCTAGAGCGTCCTCATGCTCCTTACATGCCAACCACCTTCTTCCATCCTTCATCATCCTCTCCTGGTGTCCTTGGCATTGAGTGTTCTCCCACGGCATCTCTGTTGTCCTGCAGGTACAGGCCACTTCCCTCCATCCTGCACCATCTTTACTGTTCTTAGCATTGGGTGTCCTCCTGGGACATCTTGATGCTTCATCATGTGCAAGCCACCTTTGTCCATCTCACATCGTTCTCTTGATGTTCTCAGCTCCAGGTGCCCTCCTTGGGCTGCTCCATCCTCCTTCACCTGCAAGACACCTCCATCTGTTTCGTACCAGCTCTTGGTGTCTTTGACACCAGGTGCTCTCCATGCTCTTTCACGGGCAAGCCACCTCCCTCTGTCTCGTACCACCTCGGTGGCCCTGGCGCTGGGTGCCTTCATGTGCAAGCTGCCTTTGTCCATCCTGCCTCATCTTCTCCTGGTGCCCTCAGGACCAGGTCACCTCCTGGGGCATCTCCATCCTTGTTCGTGTGCAAACCACCTCCTGTCATCTCAAGCTATCTCTTGGTGTCTTTGAGATCAGGTGCCCTTCATGCTTCTTCACATGCACGGCACCTCCCTCCATCTCAAACCATCTCTTGGTGTCCTTCATGCCAGGTACCCTCTGGAGAACGTCTCCAGGCTCCTTCATGTGCAAGCCTCTTCCCTCCATTCTGTGTCATTTGCTGGCGTCCTTGGCATTGGGTGCCCTCCCAGGACATCTCCATCCTCCCTCACATGCAAGTGGCCTTGCTCCGTCCTACACCATCTTTTGGTGTCTTTGGTTTTGGGTGGCCTTGTGGAGTATCTTGGTGCTCCTTCATTTCCAAGTGACCTTCCTCAGTCCTGCATCGTCGTCTCTTGATATCATCAGCACTGGGTACCTTCTTGCAGCATCTTCATCTCGCTTCGTATCCAATCCACCTCCCTCCATCTTGCATTGTGTTTTGGAGTCCTCAGCATCAGGTGTCCTGCTGGAGCATCTCTGTCCTTCTTCACGTGCAAACCACCTTCCTTCATGTCACATCATCATCTCTTGATGACCTTGGTACCAGCTGCCCTCCTGGAGCATCTCCATCCTCCTCCATGTGCAAGCTGTCTCCATCCACTTCACGCCGTCTCCTGGTGTCCTCACCACCTGATGTCCTCCTGGATCATCTTCATGCTCCTCCACATCCCACCACAGACACTGCAACTTGCCTGTGCCCTCCTGTCACCCCAGCACATGCGCCAGGTTGCATCACTGCTGTGCTCTCCCTACCGACATGTCCTGCCACTGGGCTCCTGTCCCCAGCTCCACCACCCATGGGACACTGCTTGTCCCACCACGAGCCCCAGCATGGCTTTGCCATCCAGCCTGGGCTCGGAGACAATCCCTCAGCCCTATTTCCCTGCTCTGCTCGTGCCACCACCTCTCACCGCGGGCTCGGACCAGGGAAAACTGCAACGCTGCTGACCCAGCTTCTTCCTTTCCCACCCTGCAGCCGACATCGCCCGCAACATGGGTGCCAAGACGGTGATCGCCATTGATGTGGGCAGCCAGGACGAGACGGACCTGTGCAACTATGGGGACAGCCTGTCTGGCTGGTGGCTCCTCTGGAAACGTCTCAACCCCTGGGCTGAAAAAGTCAAGGTGAGGACCAGTGGGACGTGGCGATGCTGGTGAGATGTCATGGGCTGGGTGCTGAGCACCCCATCCTCGCAGGTGCCCGACATGGCGGAGATCCAGTCCCGCCTGGCCTACGTGTCATGCGTGCGGCAGCTGGAGGTGGTGAAGTCCAGCTCATACTGTGAGTACATCCGGCCCCCCATCGACCGCTTCAAGACCATGGATTTTGGCAAGTTCGACGAGATCTACGTGAGTTGGAGGATGGAGAGGCCGGTGAGGTGGCCTGGATCGTTGGTTAGGGTGCCTCAGGCCATCAGTTGGGTGCCCCAAGCCGTGGGTTGGGGTTCTCCAGCCATCAGTTGGGGTGTCCTGACAGTTGATTGGGGTGCCCTGGCCATTGACAGGATGCCCTGGCCACTAATGGGGTGCCCCAGATGTGGGTTGGGGTGTCTTTGCCGTCGGTTGAGCGTCCAGGCCGTGAATGTGGTGTCTTGGCTGTCAGATGGGGTCAACCAGGAATTGATTTGGTGCCTCAGCCACCACTTGAGGGTTCTCTGGTCCATTGGTTGGGGTGTCCCAGCCATTGATGGGGTGTCCTGGCCGTCAGCTGGGTGCCTACGCCATCATTTGGGTGCCCTGGCCATTAACAGAGTGATGGGACCATCATCTGGGGGTGCCTGAATCATCGTTCAGCATTCTTGGGCTCTCAATTGCCATGTCCTGGGAATCATCTGGGGAGCTTGGGTCATCGTTCGGGGTACCCAGGTCACTATCTGGGTGTCCTTGACCATCAGTTGGGCTGCCTTGGCCATTGATTGGCATGCCCAAGCCATTGGTTGGATGTCCCAGCCATCAGTGGGGTACCCTTGACCATTGTTTGGGGTGTCCTGACTAGGTTGGGTGTCCCAGTCATCATTTGGGGTACCCTGGCCATCGGTTGGGTGTCCCAGTCATCAATCAGGGGTCCTGGGCCATCAGTTGGGATGCCCTACCCATCAGTTGGGATGTCCTACCCATCAGTTGGGTGCCTGGGCCATCATCTGGGGTGCCCCAGGTCAGTGTTTGGGGTGCCCGGACCACCGACGCGCTGCGGCCGCTTTCCCTGCAGGACGTGGGGTACCAGCATGGCAAGGTGGTCTTCGATGGCTGGAGCCGGGGTGACATCATTGAGAAGATGGTGAAGGACCGGCGCTCGGCCGACTTCTACGAGAGCAAACGCATGGACGTGAGCATGGGAATGGCACCAGGGCCTATGGGTGGTGGTGGCTGCTCGGGGACCTGCCCTGGGGCATCCTGGGATGGGCTGTCCTGGCCCCCTGATTTTGAGGAAGTTTTTTTTATCCCTGGACCTGGAGCCATCTGTCTTGGTTCATCCTCTCGTCCCCTTGGTCCATCCTCCTGTCCCTCACTGGCATTCTCCTGTCCCCTCTTTGGTTCATCTCCTGTCCAGCTCCCCATCATCCTTTGTCCCCTTCGTCCATCTCCTGTTCCCCCCAGTGTCCTTGTCCCCTTCTTGGTCCATCTCTTGTCCCCACAACCCTGGTCCACCTTGTCCCACCTTGGTCCTTCCTCCTGTCCCTCACTGGCATCCTCCTGTCCCCTCCTTGGTCCATCTCTTGTGCCCACAACCCTGGTCCACCTTCTGTCCCACCTTGGTCCATCATGCTGTCCCTCACTGGTAGCATCCTGTCCCCTCCTTGGTCCATCTCTTGTCCCACTCCCCATCATCCTTTGTCCCCTTGGTCCCTCTCCTGTTCCCTCAACCCTGGTCCATCTTCTGTTCCCCCTTGGTCCCTCTCCTGTTCCCTCAACCCTGGTCCATCTTCTGTTCCCCCATGGTCCCTCTCCTGTTCCCTCAACCCTGGTCCATCTTCTGTCCCCCCCTTGGTCCATCTCCTGTCCCCTTCTTGGTCCACCTTGTCCTCTTGGTCCACCTCCTGTCCCCTCCTTACTCCATCCTGACCCCTTTGTCCATCTCCTGTCCCCCCGGCCCCCTTTAGTCCTTCTCTCCGTGTCCCCTGCTGCCCTGCCCCAGCTCGCGTCCCTCCTCCTGCCCCCTCCATCCTCACCCCTCTCACCCATGGTGGGGGGCGGCTCGGGGGCTCCCCCTTTTTCCTCTCGTAGGTGCTGACGTGCCCCAACGCCAGCTTCACCGACCTGGCGGAGATCGTGTCCCGCATCGAGCCCGCCAAGCCCTACTTGTCCGACGGATACGCCGACGGTGAGCTTGGGGGGGGGGGGCGGGGGGGGAGGGGGGGGGCG